GCAGTAAAACGAATTTAAGAGAGAGCCACCTGCCCCCGCAGGAGCTCTTGTTTGTTTCGTTTAGTCACTAAGTCCTGTCCAACCCTTTGCGACCCCACGGACTGCAGCCCGCCAGGCTCCTGTGTCCGTGGGCTTCTCCAGGCAAGAACACTGGAGTGGGTTGCTGTTTCTTCCTCCAGGGGGTCTTCCCGACCCAGGGACTGAGCCCAGGTCTCCTGCACTGGCAGGCGGATTCTTTACCACTGAGCCACCGGGGAAACCCCCCCAGAGGAGCCACAGGAGGCTAAAAGTCAACCTCTCCCACCAGAACGGCCCCTCTTTCTTCTCGGCTTCGCTCCCTCCCCTGGACTTCCTGTCTCTCTGGAGCCAGACACAGGGGTGATCCCCTCTCCCGGATCACCCGCGGAGCCCAGGAGACGCTGATTCCACCGCAGCAGATGTCCATCACCGGCCTCACTGCAGCGCGAGACCTACTCCACTCCCTCTAACCCATCCTTCCTCCTTCCCCAGTAACACACTCTCCGCCGGGCACAGGGCTGTCAAGCCATTTACCTCTAGTCTGCCCCGTAGCTGGGATAAGGCGTGTGAGCCATCACGACCCAAGGACACTTCTGGTTCACACAAGCCACTGTATTCAGGCCTGCGGCAGACACTACACTAGGACCCCAGACAACGCAGGTGCAGATGAGCTTCTGCCTGGATAACTGCAGTCACCCCCTCAACTAGCTTCCGCCCCTCTCACTTCCCTTCTGGGTTTCCCACAATACCACCAAAGGGATCTAGGTCGAGTGTGTGTGGAAGAGGCATTTCCCCCTGCCGGCATTTTCCCTCTGGCCTGGATTTCAATCGGACAACATCCCTTGGGAAGTCCAAACTGCTGGCGGATGCAGAACGAGCTTGCGCATCCTCGCACCTGGCGGAAGAGCTCTCGCTGTCCACCCCGCTCACCACTCCAGGGATGCTCTCCTTCTGTACCCGCTTTCATCCCCGTTAACACCCAGCACAGACGCCCCACCTGCAGGAGCTCCTCTCTGACCCTCGCACACCCTGCTCTGTGCCCTCCTCGCATCTCAGTCCCTCCACGCGAACACCAGTCTCACCGCCTGGAAATTATCAGTCAGTCCAGGAGAGTCTTTCCTAAAGCACAGGCAGCACATTTTTACAAGCCTTTGTAACAAAAGTTCCGAGTGGAGCCCACTAAACATTTGTTCTGCTGGTTTTAACCGGAGGAAATGTTCAGCACGGATGGCAGGGAGAAGACGGGACTGAGGCACCTTTATACGGTTATAATGCAGAGCATCTGAGCACCAACCCGATGCTACACACAAGAGAAGAGATTAAGGACATCGGGGTGATTTCTCAGGGAAATGAACTGCTGTGATATGAATGGATAACGAGATTACAGCAAATGACATGGGCTCAAGGTTTGAACATGTTGAGTTTGAAGCTTATAGAACGTTCAGATGAATCTACCCAGCTAGATGGTGGCTGGGAAGGAGGCCAAACAGCTTGCAGCAGGGGAGAGAAGTCTGAATGGTAGATATTGATATGATGTTATCAACGTACATACAGTCTGAAGCTGGGACGGTAGGGAAAGATGACCGGGACAAGACAGTGGATCCAGAGAGGAACTACAGAGCAGATCAAAGGGAACAAGTTCTAAAAGGCAGCAGACCGGCCTGCAAAGGAAGGGATAGGGAAGAGTCAGAGACAAGAGGCGCCCAGGTCAGGTGTCATCCCAAGGGTCAACAGACATTTGCTGTGCGGGTGTACTCAGTCACGTCTGATTCTTTGCAACCCCAAGGACTGTAGTCCGCCAGGCTCCTCTGTCCATGGAATTTTCCAGGCAAGAACACCAGAGTGGGCTGCCATTTCCTTCTCTAAGGGATCTTCCAGACCTAGGGATTGAACCCACGTCTCCTGCACTGGCAAGTGGGTTCTCTGCCGCTGAGCCACCTGGGAATTGGCTGACAGTTATATACACTATAACAATATATCAGCTTGACTAGAAATGCTCTTCTATGCTCAAAACCAGGCTTCATCGGACTGGTCAAAGCTCATCCTTCAGATCGCTGAATATTCATCTTCTCTAACTCATCACATCACCCATGGGTCACAATGGGGCAAAAGACCAGAAACCTACAAGAAGTCTGGAAACCGCCTCAAAGGGGCCTGAGCACATGCTGAGGTCTCGTGGTACAACCTTCAGCTCAGTTCAGTTCAGTCGCTCAGTCGTGTCTGACTCTTTGTGACCCCATGGACTGCAGTACACCAAGCCTCCCTGTCCATCACCAACTCCCGGAGTTTACTTAAACTCAGGTCCACTGAGTCGGGTTTTAGGAATTCACTGGATGGGAACGCGGGCACAAGGGCCTGGACACCAAGCTGGAATCTGACAGACGCGTACCCTGCCCCGCCTACACACGCGTGGGAGCTGCGGTTCGGGCTCTGAGTGCGCCCGAGGAGCCAGGGGAAGTCCTGTCCTCGGTTAATACTGTAACTACAGACGCCTGCGATGCAAGCTCTCCCAGACAATTGGCCTACAGCCTGTGTTGGCACAGTCTTTCCATTTATCTTCCTGTCTCACTGTAAATAGCCCAATTTCAAAGGCAAATGCTCTATCCACCCTCCCACATATGTCTTATTTTATACATCTTGCCTTTCCATCAAGATGGAGAAGTCCTAGATACCAAAATAAAGTCCCCTCCCCAGGCCTAAAAATGCTCAACCTGTTAGAACAAAAGATTGCAGGATGAATTCTGGGGTATTTTTCTGAGATGAGAACACACCCAGGATATTCCTCGATGACCAGGGAGTATCCAAAGAGACTTCTCGAGTTGTCTTAAACACTCGCCTCTCTACTTGTATTTGGGTAGGAGGTGAGATCTATAAATGATGGGCAGAGAGATTAAGGGCTGGGGATGCTGGAAGCAGTGCTATAAGAGATGGAATGCACTGGGGTCCCCCAGGGTGCCTCAAGCAAAGCCACAATCCTGTACCTTTAAGACACAGGGCAGGGGACCCAGTATCAGCTTAGTGGGACAAGCACTCCTCAAGAGGCTCTGAAACAACCACCCTCCAGCATCCACCATTTGTCACTTTTGAAACACAAAGCTTTCAAGGAAACTCTCCTTATAAAAGCTGAAATAGTGGGATTCTATAGTCGCTTCCCCTTTCCTCGGAGTCCTTCCTTCTAATAATTCAGACTATCGTGTTCTCAGCCAATGTCTCTTGACCCTTGGGGGTAAAGATAAAATGCTTTTTTCTATTTTAAGACCGTACTTTATAAAAAATAACGGGTTCATATGGAAATAAATCTATAGATCTCCAAAGATCAAAAAGCTTTTCAAAAAGCTCTTTTAAAAAATTCTCCAGTACATAAACTAGAACTAACTACTGATGTAAGTGGGGGCTTCCCTGGTGGTTCAGACGATAAAGAATCTGCCTGCAATGCGGGAGACCTTGGTTTGATCCCTGGGTTGGGAAGATCCCCTGGCTCAGAGCATGGCAACCCACTCGTTTTCTCGCCTGGAAAACCCCCATGGACAGAGGAGCCTGGTGGGCTACAGTCACGGGGTCACAAAGAGTCAGACACACCTGAGCAACTCAACACAGCACACACAAGGATATATGCGTGATTCTCAGTGAAACAAGGAATCAGCAGACCAGACAAAATACACACAATATAGAAATAAACAGCGCTCCCCTTCCCGGGTCTGGCTAGGAAAGCTCACGGGCTTCTGCAGCAGGAGGGCGGGCACCAACCCCAGCTGGGGAGGGGGTCAGCGTTCACTCACTCACTCCTGTGTTCTTCTCGTTAATCTCTTTTTAATTGAAGGATCATTATAATATTGTGCTGGTTTCTGCCACACATCAACGTGGATCAGTCACAGGTATTCATACGTCCCCTCCGCAGTGGGCCTGCCTCCCACTTCCCATCCCATCCCACCCCTCTAGGCCGTCACAGAGACCTGACTTGAGTTCCCTGAGTCACAGAGCAAATTCCCACTGGCTGTCTATTTTCCATGTTTCCAAGATGCCCTCTCATTCGTCCCACCCTCTTCTCCCTACCCACCGCCACCCGCTGTAACTCTTCTCTATGTGTGCGTCTCCACTGAAAGCATTAGTCACTCACTCGGGTCTGACATTTTGCAACCCCATGGACTGTAGCCCAGCAGGCTCCTCTGTCCATGGGATTCTCCAGGCGAGAATACGGGAGTGGGTTGCCATTCCCTTCTCCAGGGGATCTTCCCAACCCTGGGATTGAACCTGTGCCTCCTGCATTGGCAGACAGATTCTTTACCGTCTGCGTCACCAGGGAAGGGTCTCCATGGTGCCCTGCAAACAGGTTCGTCTGCACCACCTTTCTAGATTCTATGGTGGTGGTGGTTTAATCATTAAGTCGTTTCCGACTCTTGCAATCCCAGGGACTAGAGTCTGCCAGGCTCCTCTGTCCATGGGATTCTCCAGGCAAGAATACTGGAGTGGGTTACCATTTCCTTCTAGATTCTATATATATGTGTGAATAGACAATATTTGTATTTCTCTTTCTGACCGACTTCACTCTGTACCTCACTCCTGAACCCGCCTACCCTTGGTAATTTTTAAGGGAACAAAAGTCAAGTAGGACACACAGAATCCATCTCTGGTTGGCTCAACTCAACTTCGCAGCCACAGTTCTGCCACATTCTAAGTCACCGTGCCCCCCTTGTCCCTGGCCCCTTCTGTCCCCCCGCTGGGAGGCACTGTCCACCCTGGTTGATTCTTCTCCCTCCCTGGGCCAGCCTGGTTATCACCTGCCCCTGTGGTACCACGTCCCTCTGCTGTAGATCGATCCATCAGGGTTGAAGATTCACATTTATTTGTGTAATTCTTTAATTAATGTCCTCTTCCCCCGTGGGCCACAGGAGGGCAAGAACAGCATGTTTTATTAACCACTGTATCCCCAACACCATGCAATTCAAGCAGCCTTTAATATATTAATCATTGTTTTCCCAGCATTTAGTTGGTCACAAAGCCTTTAATTGCATCCTCTGGGCCTGGGGAGAGGAGGTCATTTCCCCACTGATTAAACCCAAATTAGCACCCGAGGCTATTTCCTCCTCACTTCCTGGATCCTTCAATCAGCCTGGTCTTCGTCTAGCTCCTCCGATAGCATCCGTCTGCATCAAGCTCTCTGATCGCTCTCTTGCCATCACTTCTGGCTGAATTCACTTCCCCCCATTTCTGTGCATTAACAGTTTTCTACAAAGATCTCTCTCATCTGAGAACGACCCCGCATTCGCATCTGGAGAATTTCTGAAGATTAGCTCGCGTTTATCCATTCTCTTTCACACAGAAGAGAAAAAAGCAATGTTAAGGAAGTTGACCAACTTCACACAACCCAGAAAGTCTGTGCTTTCCTTATTTTTTCAGTGGTTTTTGCTATATGACTTTCTTGAAACCAAATTTCCATTAGGCATGCTCAATAACTTGACCCTAGAAAAGGAAATATAAGAATAATATGTTTGTTTTTGCAGTGGAGGGATAAATTAGGAGTTTGGTATTAACAGATACGCTACTTTATATAAAATAGACACCAACCAGGATCTACTGTAAATAGCACGGGACCTATACTCAAGGACTATACTGTAAATAGTATAGGGACCTATACTCAACATCTTGTAATAACCTATAAATGGAGGAGAATGTCAAAAAGGAAGATATGGTGTATATATANACCTGAAACAAACACAACAATGTAAATTCACTATAGTCCAATCAAAATTTTTAAAAGTAAAATAACTCACTAAACATAATCTGTGATGACAGCAGAAGGGAAAAAAAAAAAAGAAGCAAGCACATAATTTCGACAGACAGGAAGCCCCATTCATGGCCAAACAACAGACTCATCCGAAAACTGATGACAAGGACGTGAGTCAGCGGCACCTGCTGAAGAAGTAAGGCTCCCCGCACTGGAACGGAAGTCCTCAGAGGCAGAGCCCCCAGGCCCAAACACCCCAACCCCAAACACTGGGGGGCGGGCGGTGCTGTGTGTCCAGGCTGGTCACAGCAGGTGTGAAAGCGGGCCGCCTCCAGACAGCACGTGGTGAAAAGTGCTCACAGGGGAACAGGTCAGTGAGGCACCCGGCTGCGGCATCCCAGCGTGTTTTCTGTCCTCCGCGTTGATGGCGTCATCTTCATTCAACTGGGCACCACGTCCTCAGAGGTCAGCATTCCAGTTCCCTCCCAGTCATGGATGAAGACAAAGACTTTGAAGACAGCAGTATTTTACTTCACGCCACGCCACGACAACCTTCGTGTATTTCTTATTAACTCTGCCCGTGCATCGGGACTTGGGGCCACCAAGAACTACAGAGAATGGGTTGTTGACCTGGAAACTCAAGTCAAGGAAGGAATTCGTCGGGGCAAAGGGCGTGTGAGACGGAGGATGGCTTTGTGACTGGCTGTGAACGCAGGTCAACTGTCACCAAGGCGGGGAATAGGCCTGTCACCTGGAAGATGAGAGCCAGCGTGCCGATTCCGCCTTTCAGGTGACGTCAGCGAACAGACCTCGGTCACCCCCTGTGCAGAGGAGACTGCAGCCCAGGAGTGTGTGTGTGTGTGTGTGTGTGTGTGTGTGAGCGTGCATGCTCAGTCATGGCCGACTCTCTGCAACCCCGTGGATGGTAGCCCACCAGGCTCTTCTTGTCCATGAAATTTTCCAGGCAAGAATACCGGAATGGGTTCCATTTCCTACTCCAGGGGACCCAGTGGTAAAGAATCTGCCTGCTAACGGAAGAGATATAAAAGACGCAGGTTCAATCCCTGGGTTAGGAAGTCTAGAGGCAGAAAATAGCAAACCAACTCAAGGCCATCTATCTCTGAAGTTTCTGTGTTAGTTCTAAGAACATACCTTTTCAAGATGAAGGAGCCTATAGAACCTCATGCCCTGGGGCAATTTAGAGCCCTAGACATCCAGAAGTCCAGGCCGGGAGGTCGAGTTTTCTTGGAGAAGGGGCAAGATTTTGATAGGTAAAGACTGCCCACCATGATGGATACATTAATTATGAGCATGATCAAGCTTCATTTTCTCTATCTGGTCTGGTAAACCTGGAGATGTTTGTGCTGGGAATTTAACTTAAATTTAGCTTTCTGACTTCCCCCTGAGGACAGAAGAGTGAGCTGGGGGAGTCAGGGCTGCCAGGATGCTCTGAAAAATCAAATTCACTCACCACCTAGGATTCAGAGATGTTACAGCAGCTTCTAAGGTAGGGAAGGAGACTAGTCTATGGCTGCACAATGGATACTTGGGGATAACAGACTGGGCAGAATATCCATTTATTTGTCTTTTCCTGTAGATAAGGTGTCACTTAGGGTTGATTTTCTTGTTCCTCTAGGAGAGCAGACGGGCACATCCAGGTCTGCAGGCTAGGCTAATCCTAGAGGTTTTCTGACCTCAAAAAAGATTCCATCCTGGCTGCCCATGGGCAAGTCCTCACAAACGAACATCCGAAATGCAAACCAAGTGACCTGGGTGAACAGAGCCCAGCACGGGAGCGGGCAGTCCTACTCCACGACGGAACTCCGCCTGCGGGACCACAAAGACGGAGGGTGGTCGCATGTTTTCCTTGACTGGACGTCCTTCACAGTATTGGAGAGGCCTGACACCGCATCTCCAAGGAGTGAGATTATGGGAAGAAAGTGTTTCTCTCCAAGGAAGCAATTTCTGAAATTCGTGTCACGTTTACACGTGCAATCCACAGGCAGGATTATGGATCACGGATTCCTGGAGCACAAACAGGAGCACATTTTAAGAAGTCCCGGAAAGGGCTTCCCCGATGGTTCAGTGGGACAGAATCTGCCAACGCAGGAGATGCAGGTTCGATCCCTGGTCCAGGAAGATCCCGCGAGCCTTGGAGCGACTAACCCCAAGCACCACAACTTCTGAGCCTCTGCTCGACTGAGTCCACACGCCGCCAACTCCTGACGCCCGCAGCCCGCGAGCCCCCGCCCGCGACAAGAGACGCCGCCACAGTTAGAAGACCGAGCACCACAATCAGAGGAGCCCCTGCTCCCCGAAACTAGAGAAAGGCCTGCAGTGAAGGCCCGGCACAGCCAAAAGAAATGAAGACAATTTTTTTTTTTAAAGAGGGAGAAGGCCCACAGGGTGATAGAGTCATCAAGACTTGGCTTAAATCTTGGTTCCACACGAACTTGGGCGAGTTACGTAACTTCTGTGAGCCTGTCTCTTTAAAAGAAAAAAAAAGAAGTCCCGTGGCTGGGCAAGTGCTCCTCATAATCTCAGGTCCCCACCTCCTTACTGTCTTTTACCAGCTGGCCTGCCTTCTGCACAAACTGCCTGGTCCCCTGGGGGATTTATCTGAACTGGACAGATTTTTTTCTTTAATATAATGCATTGGATTTGATGACGGAATGCATCGTATGGATCAGAGGAATGGACAGATAAGGGAGGAAAAGGATTAAACATAATAGCTTGCAAGCTTTTAAGGGGGAAAGTGTTACTTAACATGTGCACCGTTGTGTCTGGATTAATGGCCATGCGGGACAGGAAGGGATAAGCCGTGATGACGGTAAACAACTCTGCTTCTCTGAGACGAGGGTGCAGGGTCGACCTTCCATTCCGCCTTCTTGGCACTGTTCGTAGAAGCCACATGGTCCCGCTCTGCAGACCTGAACCAGAGCTCTGGGCTCCCCAAACCACATCCCCGCCCCCCGGTGACCACACCGGGAAAAGACAGAGTCTTCAGGCTGAGAGCATGAGACCCCCCAGTCCCGTTCTCAGCTGGAGGTGGGACTGTGGGTCTCAAGCTCCTTCAAATCAAAGCAAACAGCAGCCTTCAAATCTAGGGCACGGTTAGCACCCAGCGGTGCCCGAGACTCGTGGTGTTCTCCCCAGAGCAGCCCCACCACCCCGGGGAAAAGGAGACGGCACCTTGGAGCTGATGGCAGCTCCTGGGAATAGTCACCATAAAAGGCCCACGGCGGGTCCCGGTGCCCCCTTTTACCCAGAAGGAGGAGGTTCAGACATGGAGAGCAAACGTGTGGACTCCAGAGGGGACGGTGTGCGGGTGAACTGGGAGGCTGGGACTGACATATACATACTACTGATACCGTGCATAAAACAGATGGTTGATGAGAACGTGCCGTATAGCACGGGGCAACTCAGCGCTCTGGGACCACCGGAAGGGGCGGGACTTCCTGCTCGATGGCCCGGTGGTCACGGCAGGCCACGCTTCTGCTTCCTGTGACTCGTCACAATGGCAGGCACGCGCCACGTGTAGGAGGCTGCCTGTCTCTCTGTCTAAACTCAAGACTCCACGAAGGCGAGGACTGGTGGACAGCACCGCGCTGGGTACATAACAGGGGCTGAACACACATTTGTCGGATGAAAGGACCAAAAGAAAGGAGAGAACAAATGAGCAAGAACAAACAGGAGAGAGAAGGATGGGGGGAAAGCAGGATACAGAAAATGAGGACAGGAAAGAAGTCAGAGCTTTTTATGTGTATATACAGGGCGATGTTAGCATAATGAGATGCAAATCCCATTCAGAGCAGCCTGTCAATCAGCCTCCCTTTCTTTTGAGTGCAGCTCAGGCGCTCTGAGTTTGAGGATGGAGCCTCAGGCAGGCTCAGCCTCAGGCGGCAGGGAACTCCTTAGATCAGCTCAGCAGGTCTCTGGTCACAACAGAAAAACCTATTTCCTAATATACGAGGCAGAGGAGCCTGGAAGTCACATCTCATTTGTTAAATGAGGCTTCCCTCCTCGTCCTCCCAGAAGTAACAGGCTTCAAATCCACCTGCTCCCATCAGCGGTACCCAGGGAGCCAGCCAGCCAGTCTGCCCTGCCTCCTTCCCTCGGGGTCACCCCACATGTACGGGGGTTCCTTGCCCTGCGGTTCCCAGTACCCCTGCTCCAGATTCCTGGAAGAATACCTTCCCTGTGGCTCTGGGCTGTCATGACCAATTAGACGGCAGCCTGAGCCGTGGTTTCTGCAAGCACAGCCCTCCCACTGCTCCCAGGGAAATGTCAGATGGCGGGTGGGGGTAGGAGGGGAGAGGCAGGGAGACGGACAGATGGAGGCAATGGTTCCCCAGGGAGAGGCTGGGGAGGCGGAACGCCGGCCCAGGAGAGGAAACATGGTGTCCACAGCAAACACGCTCAGATCCAAGGATGTCACAGCCGCGGACTCGGTACTGACTCAGCACTGACGGCGTGCCAGATACAGAAGTGCTCCGTGTACAAAAGACAGCACCCCAGTCCCTGACGCTCGAAGCTGCTTGGGAAAACAGCACACACACACAGAGGAAGGCTAAATGACAATATAATGCAAGGTGGCAGGTGCCACAGGCTAAATAAGCCATTCACACAGGAGCTGTCAGATCGGAGCTGTCGACAGGGCTGAGGCAGCTGGGAGAGTCCTTGCAGGAGTCGGGGCGGAAGCGCCCTGAATTCCTGCCGCGCTTTGGAGAAGGCTACTCCCAAACGGAGGACAGTGCCCGGGCCTGAGTCCCTTCCTGTGTGTGAGATGCCTGGGCTGCTTCCCACACCAGGAGGCTGCGACAGCCAGATGCAAGGCAAGGAGCTGCCGGCCAGGAGTTTACGATCCAGTAGCGGGCCCGAGGTTCACGAGTGCCTCCATACTTGTGATCCAGGCAGCGTGTGGGTCACAGATACTACCGCGAATGATGATAAGGGCCTACTGTACTGCCGGAGCCTCTGCAGGACTCAGTTTCCACACCTGCAGAATGGGTTTGCGAGCATTGCCTGCGATAAGGAATAAGGCTGCCGCTGGCGGTAGAGAAGACTTGAGTGTCTCTCCTTCTTCCTCCTTCCCCTCTGCCAAGGTGATCGGGCAAGAAGGAGACGGCATTAGACAAGGGATTTCCAGGGCGGGTGCTCTGAGTGGGAGGTTGTATTTATTCCAGGAAATGCTGGAGAAAGGGGCCAAAGGTGTGTGGAAGGCGGACAGTGAGGCACCGTCTCAAGCCTGCCTTCCTTCAGTCTGTAGGCTTGGATTGAACGTGACCTCATCGATTCACTTGGCAATGTCAGGTGGGCTCCCAGATCAACTGAGGCCCCAACAGTGGGGACCAGGTGTTGGGAATCAGGGCTGACTTGTGTCAAACTTCTCTGGCCATCGGCCCTTTAAAGCACATGTATCAGGAGAGACATCTGGTCCAGTTACAACTGACCATCCTTTTGACTAGCGGAAGGAGTGGGCTGTTTACGAGGTCCTGTACTAACCGTTTTAGTGGGATTTGGGGAAGCAGCAGAGATGCATGTACTAAAGGTGCCATCTTTGAAGGACGTTTGCTCGGGACTTCCCTGGTGGTCCAGTGGCTAAGACTTTGCACTCCCGATGCAGGGGGCCTGGGTTCGATCCCTGGTTGGGGAACTAGACCCCACATGTTGCAACTAACAGTTCGTGTGCTGCAGCTAAAAGATTCCACATGCTGCAACAAAGGTCAAAGATCCCAGGGGTGGGGGTGAGTTGAGGGAGCAGCATTAGAACATATACATTACCATATGGACAATTAGACAGCCAGGGGGAATTTGCAACATGACTCAGGGAGCTCAGGCTGAGGTCTCTGACAGCCGAGAAGGGTGGGATGGGGTGGGATGGGGTGGGAGGTGGGAGCGAGGGGACACACGTGTCTCCATGGCTGATTCCTGTTGATATATGGCAGAAACCAACACAATACTGTAAAGCAATTATCCTCCAATTAAAAAGAAAGAAATTTTTAAAATTATAATTAAAAAAAATCCCACGTGCCACAACTAAGACCCAAAACAGTCGAATGAATAAATAAAAACAAATATTTTAAAATAGATCAATAAAAGAAGTTCACTTAACGCTCTGAAGTCTCTGCTGTTTGTTTTTTTTTTTTTTAAGTTTTTAAAATGGAGAAAACACTAGTAACAATAATCATGGACTAGTATTGTAAGAAAATGTCTTTCCAATTGTAAAATAGTAAGGGTTAATCTGCTGAAGCTAAACATATACCTGCTCTATCAGCCAGCAATTCCATACCTAGGCACATACATGAGAAATGAGTGTACATGTCCGCCAAAACGTGTGTACAAAACATTCATTGTGGCTCTTCTTATAATAGTCCTCAGACACCCATGTATCCAGCCACAGCAGAATGGACAGTTGGCAGCATAAGAATGCAATGGACTCCTGCTCAGCAAAACAATGATAAAGCCTCCAACTAATAAAAATAAATGGAAAAAAAAAAGATAAAAAAAAATAAATAAAAATATTCTTATTTTTGCAAATTAAAAAAAAAAAGAAATTTTTAAAATTATAATTAAAAAAGATCCCACGTGCCATAACTAAGACCCAAAACAGTCAAATGAATAAATAAAAACAAATATTTTAAAATAGATCAATAAAAGAAGTTCACTTAACGATCTGAAGTCTCTGCTGTTTGTTTTTTTTTTAAGTTTTTAAAATGGAGAAAACACTAGTAACAATAATCATGGACTAGTATTGTAAGAAAATGTCTTTCCAATTGTAAAATAGTGTTAATCTACTGAAGCTAAACATATACCTGCTCTATCAGCCAGCAATTCCATACCTAGGCATATACATGAGAAATGAGTGTCCATGTCCGCCAAAACGTGTGTACAAAACATTCATTGTGGTTCTTCTAATAGTCCTCAGACACCCATGTATCCAGCCACAGCAGAATGGACAGTTGGCAGCATAAGAATGCAATGGACTCCTGCTCAGCAAAACAATGATAATCATCATCATCATCTAATGCAACGTGCTCCTGGATGAATCTCAAGGCAAAAGAAACAGCCACAGAAGAGAACACGCAGTATAGTCGCACTAAATGATATAAAAGAACAGGCAAAATCCATCTATAGCGAAATAAATTAGAATCGTAGTTAAGAGATAACTGCTATTAATAGATAACTACCATTCTAATTCACGTTACCACAGATAGATTTTGCCTGTTATTGAATATCATTGAATGGAATTCTACTCCATGTTCTCTTCCATATCTTGCCTGGGAATGAATATCAGGAAGTCTTCTGTGCTGCTGGAAATGCTTTAATTTGATCTGAACAGTGGTCACAGGGATGTAGACACTCGTAAAAATTGTTTGAGCTGCATACTTAAGATTTATCTTTTGGGACTTCCTGGTGGTCCAGTGCTTAAGAGTCCGTGCTTCCAACGCAGGGGGCGGTGGTTCGATCCCTGGTCAGGGAACTAAGATCCCACATGCTGCACAGTGGGCCCCCCAAATTAAATTTTTTTTTAATTTAGAAAAAAAAGAAGAAGAAAGATTTGTTTTTCTGTGCATATGTTATAACTTGATTTTTTTAAAAAAAAACAATGAATGGAAATTGAAAACCTTGGGGGGAAAGAATTTCCGAAAAAAAAAAAAGATACATTATATTTTTATAAACCCACATGGATCTCAGAAGTAAGGGGAGAGGTCCACACCTTTGAATATCAGAGGTGTGGTCATTGAGATGCTGTAACTAAAACATACAGCTTAATTCTCCTTCCTCCTCCTTAATTAATTAATTCTCATCCTCCTCCTTAATTCTCCTCTCCTTCCTCCACCTTCAGCGGTGTGATCCTTGGCAAGTTACAAGCTTCAGCCACAACCTTCCTTATCTTTGAGGTTGGTTTCAATTTTAAATTCTTTGACCATTGGATAAAAGGCAGAATTTTTTTTTTTTTAAACAAAGGAGTCTTTGCTTTCTTTCCTCTTTTTCAACCAGACACAACTTCCTTGCCCTCACCCTCCCACCACTGGCTGGCTGAGAAGCTCTCGGGGTTCAGAGACCACACGGCCCACGTCTTCTGCACTCGACTAACTAGCACAGTGAGATGAATACAACAGACACTATTAGATGAAAGAGCACTATTTTGCCATGAAGTATATTGGATCTGAAGCAAAGCCTTATATGTATAAAGGCTATGACATCCACAATAAAGCTGACACATCCAAAATAAAAATTCTGTCAGCCAAGCAGTCTAACAATACAAGGTTTTAGAAAGGGTAACTATTTCTACCAGCCAACTTAATGGACCCGTGAATAAACTGCCTTGTTCCCCATCTCCAAACTTGGCTTTGGTCACACACACACACATACACACACACACACACACACACACACACACACACACAGATACTGTATTTCCTTTGGCTGGAAACAAGAAAAACTAAACATACGATGTTTGAGGAGAAAGCTCCTCCCCAAGGTCATGCTAATTAGAGATCATTTCTGCAGGCAGACAAGTATCTGGGCATTCAGTCTGA